TGAGGTCATGCCTCTCATGGGCCTATAAATTCTAATGCCTCCCACTCACTGAGCTTCTACACTGGTTAATGGCAAATATGAACTACAGAAAATTTGCAGTCAGTGATTAAAACACAGATTCGGCTAAGTCTGAAGAGTGCTTTGTGCCCTGCCTCTGAAGTGATAGGAAACAAGGGGCCTTAGGGCTTCAGGGAAGGGTAGCTGCTTGGTTTACACTTGGCCCATGCAGATAGATGGGACAGACAATTATTTCTTTCATGTGCGTTTTAAGCTAATTCAGAAAATTTCTACCATTATTCAAGTTAACAAGCTTCAGGCTCATGGGAGGGTTTTTCAAAGACCTGGTGAAAGTAGCTGCGAGTTAAAAAATGATAGAGGGAAAATAGAGGGTACCATACAGACGGCTAATTAACATCTTGTAAGGCCTTTCACTGAAGCAGCTGGTCTAGTCACATGTTTAAAAGATTCACAGAATTGGTAGAACTGAAAGGGTTTTAGAGAGCATCTAGCTCAACCCCCTCATTTTATGGATGGGAAAACTGAGACTCAGTTAATTGCCACAGGTCACAGTCACAGTGGGTTCACTGCAGAACTAGGATGATAATTCCCTGTGTATTGCCTCCCATCCAAAGTTCCAAAATTTGCTCTAAAAATGACAAATTAACGGAGTTTTCCCAATAGATTAGCATCAGACAACATCCATTTCCTTAGTTCTTTAAACATGCAAAATATCTACAGTTTGATACAGGCAGTTATGTAGCAATATTACTTCATAGCTATAATATTTTTACTATGAAATTCAGAAATATATTGAACATGGCAGCTCTAATCACTTTAACCTATTTGGGTTTTTAACTATGCTTCTTTTAAAAACAACTATTTTCTCACAAAATGCCAGGCATTTGGGGGTGGGTCTTTATGCTGTGGTCCCAAAACACGGATTATGCCCCACTTCTATTTCTTTTCCCTTTGCCAAGCAATTTTCCCTAACTTCCTCCTGAATTAAGTATGTGATTAGCATATTCATGAGAGGACTGATTCAGCTATGTTAATTAGCAGCTCTACTATCAAAAAAATTCCCAGAATTGGCCAAGAGGGGGAGCAGCTAGCTCTGTCACTACCACGATCTGGCTCTGTCTCCAGCAGATAGCAGATTTCTGGTATTAAACATCCTAAGTTTTAAAAGTAGGTTTAAAAAAATTACAGCATAGAAAAACACAGAGGCCAGTCTTTAAATTCAGTAATACATATTTAAAATATGGGAAACCTGATAATTTTAGAGGGGGAAGAAGTGTTCTATTGTATTTCACCCAAGTCTGAACACACACACACAGACACGTTTGTATCTTAAAAACTGATATAGACGGTACAGTCTCTTGAGATGTACAAACAATAGAAAATTAAAAGTACAGAACAAAAAAGGCCTTAGTGGTAAGGGACCTAGAGAAGAGACTCATCCCTCAAATCCAATGATTCCAAAAATGCCAGAGCTGACACCAGAACCCTGATCAGGGTCAATCGAGGAAGAATTACAAAAAACTGGGATAATGGGATGATTTCTGGTAACAGAAGGCTAACCCGCTACAAGCTCCCAAACTTTATTTTTGTTGAAAAGTTTATTTTTTAAAAAGTAATTGTTTCTCCCTTAGAAAGAAGTATTATCTCACAGACATAGGTTTTGATGATAGATGAAGTTGTATGGAGTCGAGATCACCACTTTGAATTTACACTGTAAGCTTGGAGAGGACAAAAGCTGCTCCTTTGAAGTTGCTTGACCCAAAATGTTTCCATGTGCCCTTTTACTATTTCCTTACTATATGTCCCCAGCTGTCTCTGTGCAACCTCACTGCTCCATCTTGGTTCCCATTCCCTACCACCATCTTTTTAGTCTGCCCAACTTTCTCTCTTCCATTCACACCAACGATCCAGGGTTTAGCTATTATAAGGGTTTTGGATACTTCTTTGACCAAAGCACCCACCCTTAAATTTCTGAGAGTCAAGATATATTCTATAGCCTGTTAATCAATGCCCTTGGATTGTCAGGCCTTGAGAAGTACTGGCAAGTCCTAATTGACAGCCTTAACAATTAGCTAATCATCGCAGGGCATGGTGGCTCATGTCTGTAATCCCACCACTTTGGGAGGCCAAGGCAGGTGGATCACCTGAGGTCAGGAGTTCGAGACCAGCCTGGCCAACATGGTGAAATCCCATGTCTATTAAAAATACAAAAATTAGCTGGGCATGGTGGTGTGCACATGTAATCCCAGCTACTTGGGAGGCTGAGACAGGAGAATTGCTTGAACCCAGGAGGTGGAGGTTGTAGTGAGCCAAGATCATGACACTGCACTCCAGCCTGGGCAACAGAGCAAGATTCCATCTCAAAAAAAACATAGTCAATCAATGTAGCACCCACTAGGGGACTATGATTTGCTGGGTCAACTGAGGTTATGGCATATGAAATTAAAATTATCTAATCGTTTCTTCAACCTAACTTGGAGAGAAATGTGCAAAGTATTCTGGCATACCAGTATTCCAGCATTTCAGTATACTAATCTCCAGATCAAATACATTTCAGCTACTACCTCTTAAAAAAGATAACTTTTATCTATGTTCCCTAACTTTATTGACTGTGCCATATTTTATATTATTTTATTTATTTAGTTTGAGACAGGGTCTTGCTCTGTCACCTAGGCTGGAGTGCAGTGTCATGATCTCGGCTCACTGCAACCTCCACCTCCTTGGTTCAAGCAATTCTCCTGTCTCAGCCTCCCAAGTAGCTGGGATTACATGTGCACACCACCATGCCCAGCTAATTTTCGTGTTTCGAGTAGACACGGGGTTTCGCCATGTTGCTCAGACTGGTCTTGAACTCCTGGGCTAAAGCAATCTGCCCACCTTAGCCTCCCAAAATGATGGGATTACAGGCATGAGACACGAAATCCAGACTATGCCATATTTTAACTTTAAGTCAGAAAAAACAAATGGGAGTTTCATAAACATTAATGTTTTGAAACTGATAAAGGCATAATGTTAACATATTTATTGAATGTGAAGCCTGGTAGGGAAGAGCACGAAAAACTGTTTTTCTATCCTTTTTAAAAAAAACATATGTTAACACTTACTGATAAAGTTTCTCTGTATGGTTTAAGGGGGAAAAAAAACTACACATTGGACTCATAGGAGTAGTGCTATAAAACCATGGGGAGCGAGAAGGAAAAAGAATAGCTAAACCAGCAGGCCCATAGGCAATGACTATGGGCTCCATGCCAGGAAGATACAAGTCTAATGAAGCAATGAGGTGACTTGCAGTAGAAGGCCTTGGAACTTGGAAACAACTTTATCTCCACTACATCGTGCTGCCAACAGGAGAGTCATTTCTAAAGAGCAGAATTTGTTTCCTTCTAAATTCCATTATGAAGCCCCTAAGTGGTGATTTTTAAATATCAGCATCTTACATTTTCAAAGATGACCATTTAATTATCTTTCTAAGTTTTCTCTCCAAAGTAAAATAAAAGGCTTAGGTTATTATCTTGAATGAGAAATGCCATAGTCAAGAAAACACCATTCTTTTCAATAATAATTCAGTGATCAGGAAAGACAGGGAGGACTAATGATATATTTTGCCAGTAACACCTGTTTTCACATGGTGTTAACACACTGTTAAATACTCTTAACAGTTACAGCATATATGTAGGGTAATATGGGTAATAAGAAGAATATATAGATATCTAAATTGTTCCCATCCATCCAGGGAAAGGAGATAGAACTAAGTCACAATTTTATATACAATGTGTTTCAAACAATAGGTAGGATCAATAGTACACTACATAGACAGCATTTCAGTTCAACAATATTATAAATTAAATGTGCTTTTGTGGTCTTGCCTGGGAACCTAACTAACACTTATTAAATTGACTATAAGTTTGAAATAACAAATCTCAAAGCCAACATTTGAAATACAACCTGTTCTTTAACTGAGGACTGCCTTATCAGTTATATCAAATCTAATTTAGTCTAACTTTCTTGCCATGGTAACAAGCGCTTTGCAGAAATACTCAGAGACATTTCATATCTAGAAAATTTGTCTTGTACTTCCTTCACCACACATAATGTCAAGAAAAGCATGTTTCAAAGGTACTATGTAATTAGAATGGCCTTTAAAACAGGCACAAAGGAAATCATTTCTCTTAAAACTAAATCTACTTCATAACAACCTTCAAACTGAGTGGACAGCACCAAGTAAAAGAATCCTGAGGTGTTTTGGACTCCATATTCTTTTTAAAGTCTGTTATCTTTACCATTGTTCAGATAGGATCAAAGTGCACTCTCAGTTAGCTCATATTGGCTATTTCTTCAATATTAAGAGAAGGTGTGCCTGTGAGAACGCATGTCTGGCACAGGTGATTAGAATGGGTTCTATCATGGCTTTCACAAGGAAAGACTATGCCAGAGCTTCGGCTGAGGGTGGAGCCCAGCTTAATGAAGACTATAGTCAAATAGCTACTTTTAGGTCTCTGCTGCATGGAAACTCAAGACCTTTAATGCTATCTGTGTTCTGCAAAACTTCTAGGAATTCTGGTTGTCTTTGGGGATCCATTTTGAAATTTAATTTGAAGTCCAGCATCTGTAAATTCTCTTTGGCTATTTTGACTAAGAGAGCTTTCAGATGCCTGCTTTTTATTAGAAAGTCTCTTTTTTTTTAAAGGGACTTGCGTCAACAACACTGTTCTGTGTTCACCCAAGAAAATAAATGAAAGCATTTAAGTTAAAATAATCTATTTTTTGGCTCCTTGTGACCATATTTCCATAATGCCTACCATACAGATTCCAGTGCATCTGGAAGTGTTCTAGCCATAAAGCTACAGGGCTAACTTGTCTCTGGTATCCAACAAGGACAACATCTCGGGAGAAAATTTAAGCACTGAAGGAGCAGAGGAGCTGCAAAAAAGCTATGGTACAGACTTAACTGTCGGGTTTTACATATGACTTGAATAACATACCATCAAACTTCTTGTAACGTGAAGCAAAGACAGCTTGCAAATGATCGCACTGTTCACTGACCACACTTTTGAAATCCTCTTTACTTTGCAGGCTGTACTTCTCCTCCATCTCTTCAGAGCAGCAGGTAGAACCCTGCGGACAGATCTTCAAATGATCGCCTGCAAGATAAAAAGTAGGACAGTCAATGTCTATCATCATTCATCAAGTCCATGAGGGAAGGGTTTGATTTAGGTTCACACACACTGATCATTTCAACCTGTGAGGCTCCTGCAAAGGCCCAGGTATCATGTATATCTAACAAGTTTCAGGAAGCCTAAAAATATTCATTCTCTTTTTGAGAAAATAAAACAATAAAGCCCTCTCCAAAAAGCAAAAGAAATTTCCAATCAGGGAGATGGCTAAACCATAGGAATATAGGTGTAGTCAATAAAAAAAAAAAAAAGTATTCCATGTCAACTGAAGTCTCTTTTATAAATTCCCAGAGATTCTCAGATTCTATGCTAAATACTGCAGAAGTCATGCAAACGAGACATAGCTTTTCCAGATTTGGGAGCTGACACTCCAAGAGAGATTGTCCTTTATGATGAATGATTTATAAAATATGTAACAACAGCCAAAAACTGAGCAAATACATGTGCAATAGTTATACTGTGGGGAAACAAAGGGATTTCTGCATTTCGAGGGTTGTCAGCAAAGAGGAAACTATGGGGGTTCATGCTGGATAATCTGAGCCTATGATAAATCACAAAGGGGTGATGGTAATCCTCAATCCTCAATTTTAATTTTTTTAATCCACTGTATTCTGTGCAGATGTCAGAGACTATATCTACCCCATGATTCTGTTCACATAGTAACATCCCAGTATAGTCCATCTTCAAATAAACATCTTTATGTAGTGATGCAGCCCCAAGAGTCAAGGGAAAAGCCAAAGACACATCACTCCACAGCAGCCACGAGGTTATCTCCCTCCCTTATACCAACTGCATTTGGCTTGAAGTTTGGAGGTGAGGGTTGGGCGGGGTTTTTTCCTATATGCCCCAGAGCTGCCCCCTTGTTCTCCTCTGTCACAGAACAGAAATTGTGCTTTGAAGAGATAATGCCTCTTCCCTCATAATGACCATGAAATGCAATGCCACACAAAAATAAGCCCCACTAGCTACTATCACTTCAGTCTCTCCAATATTAATTGGTGTGGTATAATTTTGTACATATGTTTACAAGGATTCACTTTCACTGTTTCTTCTGCTATTGCTGGCTATTTTCTATGTAAATCAAAAGGGGTCTGAAAAGAGAGGTGATCTCAGGAACTCAGGAATGAGTATATGTCTTCAATAGACATGTGAACCTATCAATGGTAAGTGTGTCCAATAACAAAGGGAGGGGGAATAAAAAGCTAACCATTCAAACAACACTAATCATGGAAAACAAACTGGTCCATGAGGTAGCCATTGGTGCTTCCTGGCCATGTGTACTTACAGGAAACAGGCCTTCACCTAATAGAGATACGAAAGCAGCTTTAGGGTAGCAGCGTATTTCAGACACAATTGAGCAGGCAATTTATTTGACTAACACTAGATTGTCAACTGTGCATATGCAAATAATTATCTAATCATATATGTTCTGATCATTCTTCCTTCCTGGCAATTAAAAAGTAGGGAGAGTATTACTGTCCAAAAAAAGGGGAGTATGCAGCGTTAAAGGACTATGTAAGGAAGGCAGAAAGGGCAACAATCTTCAAAGAAGGTCCCCATCCAGAAACTGCTAAAAGTTTCTTTTGGCATTTCTGAAAATCTTGGTCAACAGATAATTCTACTAACGGGAAAAAAAGAAGTTTCGAGTTTAGAGCCGTGAGGCTGCAGAATATCTTAGATCTCATTAGTGACAGAAGAGGGGTTGCTAAGGCTGGGTTTTATGGAAACACCTTTGTTACAACCAAAAACAAAACTCCCTCTTCACTGACTTAACAAGTTCACAGCAGGCTTTTGGTACTGGGACACATAATTAACAGAGAGATTCAGTTGTCTCCTGGTTTCAGGGTTGAGGTAAGGGTTCCCTTCCATTAGTCTTAATACATAAAACAATATGAAGGTCCCCAAATAGTACAGTGCTGTCACTGTATTAAATAATAGATATTACACTCATGCTCCCTATAGAAAATGAATTGGAATACTCAGAATGAGAACTTAACCCATACAGGATGATTTAATTACTTCATAATCAAGATTTTAAGATTTTTAAAGATTGTCATAAGCTAAAATTCATCATACAGATAGGCTGTTTCTTCAAGCACCTGCAAAGATTCCATTGTGGTATGCATGAATTTTCAAAGCAAAATAACTCATGAGTTTGGAAAATAAACTATGCTCACCTAATGTTATCAGGGTTCACACATAATAAAGGGTCACTTACTGGATCCTATCCAAATAGTAAGTTCACAGAAAAGTACCCACCCCTTTTCCCTGCCCACAATGTACATGGGTACATGTACAAACACATGCTTACACCCACACATGCACCTCAAAGCAAGAAAATATTAAGAGAAAGCAGGAAATAATGATTTTCTCTGTTGAAGAAGGTGCTAGACAATGAGAGGTTTAAACTCTCTCATAGGAAATTTATACTAAGGATACACCCTTCAGAAACGGGTAGCAGCAATGAAAGTTTTCCTAGTAACCTGGTCCGAGTAGACAGCACCATTTATACTGGCACACATAAAAGTCCCAGCGTGGCCCGCACACTCCACCCATCTCATCTCCACCAAGGACCTTCAAGCAGAACCTTATCGAAAGTTGCCAATACTTGAACACTGGAGCACGTCTTTGTTTTGGTGATATCTTTTTTTTTTTTTGAGATAGAGTCTCACTCTACTGCTCAGGCTGGAGTGCGCTGTCGCAATCTCAGCTCACTACAACCTCCGCCTCCCGGGTTCAAGGGATTCTTGTGCCTCAGTCTCCCAAGTAGCTGGGATTACAGGCACCACCATGCCTGTAATTTTAGTAGAGACGGGGTTTCACCATGTTGCCCAGGCTGGTCTTGAACCCCTGACCTCAAGTGATCCACCCACCTCAGCCTCCCAAAGTGCTGGGATTATAGGCATGGGCCACTGTACCCAGCCTACAATATGTAATTTTAAAAAGAAAAAAAATTTGCACTTTTATCTCAGATCTTTCTAGGAAGATTTTGTCTAATGGTGAAAGGCTTGCCTTATGCAAAGGACAAAGACAGGGTAGATACTTGACTAATGTTTCCGCTAGCAAAGCTGTCCGTCCCTCAGTGCAAAGTTTGCACTTTGGGCCATATAGCCCCGAATGCACCACTTATCCTGTCTGCATTTCTAAAAAGCATTACTTGAAAATGTAACATGACATTCTTGCCAAAAGCCCTGTGACACACGTAGTCCAGGACACACTTGCAAATTAAACCCCACGACATACTTGGGCTACTGGGGATTCGGTGCTGTAACTAGTTAGTGCTAATGAGAAGCACAGAGAGGAAAAGGAGGACAGTCTGGGTACATTTGAAAATTAAATTATAGTTCCATGTTCTGGTAAGAATCTTTGAAGACTCAAGCAACTAATTCAGTTTTTTTTTTTTTTAAACTTGAATATTTCTACTTTAAGCACCCAAAATGGTTTATTTTGAAAGTCAGGGTGTGCGTATTATTTGAAAAGCATTCTGTCTTACGTGTTTGAGACTGCTTCTAAAATGCTGTGTCTCAGTGAGAAATGTCTTTTCTTTCTGGATATTTCCTTTCTAAGCCTGGTGATCTTATATTATTCTCATTTAAGAAGATGCCACAATTTTTCCTTGAACACAGGGACAACAGAATCAAGATGGGACAGGTACACAGCCACTGTGGGGGTAGCATTGGTAACAAGGACTCTAGGTGCTTCTGACCCTTCCTTAAGAATTGTTGCTAGAAAGGCTTCTGGATTCCAGCTGTGGAACAGCTGGGTATAGCAGTTGACCAGTTACTCTCCTAGCTTAGTGAATAGATTACGATCTACAACTGCCATTTCTCTCCCCATTTCCCTAATTCAATAGCCTGCTTCCGTGACTCTTGACATATATAGTTCCTTCTTCATGTATCTCTTCTAGTCCCTTAAGACTCTCCTGTCTGCTTTCCACTCTCTTTTTCCTCTACCTATACAGTTCGGTCTCACCCTATCCCACCTCTTAAATGGTGCATAATATGAAATTGAAGGGTTTAATTTGTTGTACTTGTTGAGAATTCCTTTTCTTAATTTAAAAAGCAGGTGAATTGAATGCTTTATGGTTTTCTAAGGAAGCACCTAAATTAAGTTGCTTTTTGTACATGGCCCTTGATTAGTATTTTTCTTTGTGGGTCAGTGGCCCTCAATAGAAAAAAGGTCCCCCAGCCCTGTCCTAGGAGGCTTGGATGGGATTCAACGAAGCGTGCTTTTAAAGCTTAACTCTCTGGCATTAAAAACAAAAAAATCACTCGAAAGAGCCAAACTTTTTTCAATCACACCAGCTCTATGTAATTTCTCTTTAGTCTTAATATCAATGCCTTAGTTTTCAAAGCTGAACAAAGACAATCACAATAAATTACTCTCAATCCTGCTGAGTGTGTATTGGTTCTTTTTTTTTTTTTTTAGCACTTCAAATCAATGGTTAAAGAAGTAGGCATTGAATATGAGGAATCTATTCCATCATTTAACGATGCTCTGAGGCAAACAATCTGTGAAACTGTGCTTTCTCATTTTATCTCATTTACTCCTCTCACCAAAGGCTGGCTCTGATGTACAAACGGGGTGCAGCTAATGTTAGTTTATTTTCAGTTGCTCATAACTCAGCTTCCCATAGAAAATGTTATAAATGATAGATAGGTTCTCAGGCCAGCCCTCAGCTTATTTACTACTAACTTGACTATTTTCAACTATGTCTAACAACCATTTTCTATATCTCTCTCAGAAAATACATTTTGAAATCCAACTAGACGCCAAGAAAATGTCTCTCCAATTCCCATACATTTTGGGGGGGATGGGGTGGTGATAGAGGAATACTGGTAGTTACCACTGAGGGGTCAGCTTGCTTTCTGTACCTGCAGGAGACAAAGCAAATCTCTAGTTTACTCCCCCAGTGTCCTAAATGGAGAAAATGGCAGCTGGAAATCATTGCAAGACACCAGTAGAGA